CCTGCTCATGCTCTATCTGTCTTTTCTTCAAAAATAAATAAACATTAAAAAAAAATTAAGAAAAAAAATCATAGCATCTGCAAGTAGGGACAATTTTACTTTTTTTTTTCCAATTTGGAAACTTTTTATTTCTTTTTCTTGCCTGATGGCTCTAGCTAGCCTTCTAGTACTATGTTGAATAGGAAAGGTAAGAGTGGGCAGCATCATCCTGCTCCTGATCTTAGAGGAAAAGCTTTCAACTTTTCACCATTGAGTATGATGTTAGCTGTGGGCTTGTCATAGATGGCCTTTATTACATTGAGGTACGTTCTTTCTATGCCTAATTTATGAGTTTTTATCATGACTGTTTTTTAGATGTAACTTTGAAGTGTTTAGACCTCTTCTATACAATGTTTATGCATTCAAATGTGGAGAGGATTATGCCATTTTGCAAAGACTATGTTAAAAAGACAGCTTTCCTAGAGCCCAAATGTCCATCGATGGATGAATGGATAAAGAAGATGTGGTATATATATATACAAAGGAGTATAACTCAGCAATCAATAAGAATGAAATCTTGCCATTTGCAACTACGTGGATGGAACTGGAGGGTATTATGCTAAGTGAAATTAGTCAGAGAAAGACAAAAATTATATGAGGACTTTAAGAGACAAAGCAGACGAACATAACGGAAGGGAAACAAAAATAATATAAAAACAGGGAGGGGGACAAAACAGAAAAGATTCATAAATATGGAGAACAAACTAAGGGTTACTGGAGGGGTTGTGGGAGGGGGGATGGGCTAAATGGGTAAGGGGTAGTAAGGAATCTACTCCTGAAATCATTGTTGCACTATATGCTAACTAATTTGGATGTAAATCTAAAAAATAAAAGTAAATTAAATAAATAAATAAATAAATAAATAAATAAATAAATAAATAAATATTTTTCTTAATGTGTAATTTGAGTCTAAATCATGAGAAAATACCAGACAAACTCAAGTTGAGAGACTTATTTAAAATAATTAGCTAGTATTCTTGAAACTTGTCAACGTCAAGAAGGATAAAGACAGACTGAGGAACTTTCCCAGATGGGTGGAGACCAAGGAGATATGAAGCCTCAAAGCAACATAGGATCCTGGACCACAAAAAGACAATTGTGAAAATTTGAATCAGGTTTGTAGATTAAGGTATTTTTATCAATATTAATCTCTGGTTTTAATAGTTTATGGCAGTAATTTGTTTATATTTGGGGAAGCTGGGTGAAGGGTGTATGGAAACTGAGTAACATTTCTGTAATTCTTTTGGAAATATAAAATTATTCTAAATAAAAGCTATTTCCCTCCAAAAAAAAAAAAAAAAAGACAGCTTTCCTTCATACTAATCCTCTCAATTTTACTCCTTCCCACTTCCAAAAAGAAACAAAAACAAAAACAAAAAAAACACACCAGAATAATCAGAATAGGTGCTCCTGATTTGGAAATTCCAAAGAATTCAACTGGAAAAGGTACCTTCGTGCTCTAAATTTACTCTTACAATATTCTGTAATCAAGGTCCTTAGAATTAAAAGGTGTTTGAATTAAAAATTTGTATGCAATGTAGCAATTCATCAAAATGCCCTAGAAATAGATTCTAATCACCACCATTACATAACGACAAACATTTCTAAACGCTTCAACTTTTGCAGCAAATACCACCAGAGACATTAAGTTGCACTCATGTATCAGATATAAGTACCAAACTATATGTGCATTTCAAGTCTGCAAGGCACCCATATACTTAAAATGTGTATGGAGACTTACTGTATGGCTTTGCTGCTTTATTGGAGGATGTTAATCTTACGGTATTTTTCCACCCAACGGTAGGCAGACATCTTGCTCCAAGGGGCTTTAGATAGCTGCCACTAAATTATTTTAATTGCTGTCTTGAAGTTAACAAGTGTTATGATGAAATAATCTACCTGATGCTAAATAAAGGTTTTAGAATGTCCCCCCACCCCAAAGGAATTTTGTCAAATGTTTTTCTTGTATCTGTTAGGATTTCCTTTTTATTTATTTATTTATTTATTTAATTTTTTTTTTAACGTTTATTTATTTTTGAGACAGAGAGAGACAGAGCATGAACAGGGGAGGGGCAGAGAGAGAGGGAGACACAGAATCTGAAACAGGCTCCAGGCTCTGAGCTGTCAGCACAGAGCCTGACGCGGGGCTCGAACTCACGGACCGTGAGATCATGACCTGAGCCGAAGTCGGACGCTTAACTGACCAAGCCACCCAGGCGCCCCTAGGATTTCCTTTTTAAAACTTTTTATGTATGTATGTATGTATTTACTTATTAAAAAGGCTTTATAATGTCTCCCCTCCCCACCCAAAAAAATGGAATTTTGTCAAATGTTTTTTTCTGTATCTATTAGGATTTCCTATTTAAAACTAGAATTTCCTTTTTAAAACAAAACTAAAAGGCAACCAATGGAATGGGAAAAGATATTTGCAAATGACATATCAGACAAAGGGCTAGTATCCAAAATCTATAAAGAGCTCACCAAACTCCACAACCGAAAAACAAATAATCCAGTGAAGAAACGGGCAGAAAACATGAATAGACACTTGCCCAAAGAAGACATCCAGATGGCCAACAGGCACATGAAAAGATGCTCAACGTCACTCCTCATCAGGGAAATACAAATCAAAACCACAGTGAGATATCACCTCATGCCAGTCAGATGGCTAAAATGAACAAATCAGGAGACTATAGATGCTGGAGAGGATGTGGAGAAACGGGAACCCTCTTGCACTGTTGCACTGGTGGGAATGCAAACTGGTGCAGCCACTCTGGAAAACAGTGTGGAGGTGCCTCAAAAAATTAAAAATAGATCTACCCTATGACCCAGCGATAGCACTGCTAGGAATTTACCCAAGGGATACAGGAGTGCTGATGCATAGGGGCACTTATACCCCAATGTTTATAGCAGCACTTTCAACAATAGCCAAATTATGGAAAGAGCCTAAATGTCCATTAGCTGATGAATGGATAAAGAAATTGTGGTTTATATACACAATGGAATACTACGTGGCAATGAGAAAGAATGAAATATGGCCCTTTGTAGCAACGTGGATGGAAATGGAGAGTGTTATGCTAAGTGTAATAAGTCATACAGAGAAAGACAGATACGTTTTCTGTCTTATGTGGATCCTGAGAAACTTAACAGAAGACCATGAGGGAGGGGAAGGAAAAGAAAAAAAGAGGTTAGAGAGGGAGTGAGCCAAACAATAAGAGACTCTTAAAAACTGAGAACAAACTGAAGGTTGATGGGGGATGGGAGGGACGGGAGGGTGGGTGAGGGGTATTGAGGAGGGCACTTGTTGGGATTAGCACTGGGTGTTGTATGGAAACCAATTTAGCAATAAATTTCATATTAAAAAATTTTTTTTAGTTTTATTGAGATATAATTGGCATATCCAAATCTTTTTGTTAAAAAACTAAATCTTTTTTTTGAATGTTTGTTTATTTATGAGAGGGGGCAGGGAGGAGCAGAGAGAGAGGGAGACAGAAGATCTGAAGCAGACTCTGCTTTGTTAGCACAGAGCCCAACGCGAGGCTCGAACTCATGAACTGTGAGATCATGACCTGGGCTGAAGTCAAACACTTAAATCACTAAACCACCCAGGTGCCTCCAAATCTTTTCCTTCCTTCCTTCCTTCCTTCCTTCCTTCCTTCCTTCCTTCCTTCCTTCCTTCCTTCCTTCTTTTCTTTCTTTCTTTCTTTCTTTCTTTCTTTCTTTCTTTCTTTCTTTCTTTCTCTCTCCCTTTTCTTCCTTCCTTCTCTTCCTTCCTTCCTTCCTTCCTTCCCTGCTTCCTTCCTTCCTTCTTCCCTCCCTCCCTTTTCTCTTTCCTTCCTTCCTTCCTTCCTTCCTTCCTTCCTTCCTTCCTTCCTTCCTTTCTTATGTCCAACATCATGCTCAAACTCACGACTGTGAGATCAAGAGTCACACATTCTACTGACTGAGCCAACCAGGTACCCTAAATTTCTTTCCCTTTTAATGCTGAAGACTTTTCCATCGTATGTCTACACCACAGTTTGTTCATCCATTCATCTGTTGATGGACACTTGGGTTGCCTCACCTTTTGGCTATTGTGAACAATGCTTCTATCAGCATAAGTGTCCAAGTATCTGAGTGCCTGCTTCCTATTCTTTTGGGTCTAAACCCAGAAGTGGAACTGTGGGACCATAATAATTCCATGTTTAAATTTTTGAGGAATAACCAGGCTGTTTTCACAGAAGCTGCTCCATTTCACGTCACCATCAGCAACACACAAGGGTCTAGTTTCTTAACATCCTTGTCCACACTTGTTCTTTTCATTTTTTAAAAATAATAGCCATTCTAATTTGTGTAAAATGGTATCTCGTTGTGGTTTAGATTTGCAGTTCTCTAATGATTAGTGACGTTAGACATATTTTCATGTACTTATTGCCCATCTGTAGATCTTCTTTGGAGAGATGTCTATTCAAGTCCTTTGTCCATTTTTTTTTTAATGGTGTGTTTTCTTTCGCCTCACATATACCTCCCACGATGATAGAATCTGAGTTGTAGCTCGGGTGTGGAACGGGGCATAAAAAACTGATCACCTGTAAGGTTGTGGGAAGAGAGAGCAGGCGTCATGTGCCTTGGAGAGGTGAACAATTTGCATATGAAATGAATACTAACACCGTGTGGATCTAGCAACAACAACCTGCAAGCCACATGGTTGGGCTTTTCTCTTTTTCCACCAGAGAGAAATGGACAGATTTAATCAAGGTCCTTATTACCCAAACCGTGGGGTAAAATCAGCAGCTACAGAAGGTAACGGCAATGTCGCATCCCCATTGCTTTCAATGAAGACATGGATGAGCTGCGTGGTGGTGACAAGTCTGTCCTCAGCCACTCCCCGGCGAAGCTGTCACCACCATCACCAGTGTCACCATTGTGGTCAGTAACATCATCATCATCATCCCTCTCCTCATAACCGTCGTAATATGAAATACCGGTTTGTGGGTTCCCTGCACAGGTGGCTCTTCTTCCTCTCCTTCCTCCTCCTCTTGGGTAGTTCCATCTCTATTTTTTGCTTTTGGTTTTTCCTCTGATTCCTCCGGTTCAGGATCAAAGTTGAAAGTGAAGAAGTTATAGGCTTCTTCGGCAGAAGGGAAGCCAGGTGGGACCTACGGAGAAACAGCGAGTAATAGAACTTCAGATTGCGTAAGCCGAGGTGAGTGCCGGACGGTTCACCGCGGCTCTATGCTAATGGTACCGGGCACATTGGAGGCATCCCAAACGTGTTACTTTTGTCGAAGGTCCGAGATGACCCATCACAAACTTTAACAAGTGCAGCAGGCAATTGGTGGCTTCCTCTAATACTTTCACGAGTTACTTTTCTTTAATAAACTAGCGAACATTCTAATAAGCATATCAATATCTTATTTACAGCAGTAAAAGCTTTTGAAAAGATGATTAAGATGCCAAAAAAAAAAAAAAAAAGAAAAGAAAAAAGTAGATTCACTATTTTATAGGCCACTGTTGAGATAGTTTTGTTTAATTAGGAGCAATTCAGGGGTTTGTTAACTTTTTTTTTTTTTAATTTTTTTTTTCAACGTTTATTTATTTTGGGACAGAGAGAGACAGAGCATGAACAGGGGAGGGGCAGAGAGAGAGGGAGACACAGAATCAGAAACAGGCTCCAGGCTCTGAGCCATCAGCCCAGAGCCCGACGCGGGGCTCGAACTCACGGACCACGAGATCGTGACCTGGCTGAAGTCGAACACTTAACCGACTGCGCCATCCAGGCGCCCCAACTTTTTTTTTTTTTAACGTGCTTTTTCGGTTTTGATTCCTCCTGAGTTCCTACCCCCTTTTTTCCCCATAATGAAAGCTGGTACAACTGCAGAGCTGAACAAATAATCTTCCTGCTAACATTTCCTGCCCTGCCCTGTACTCCTCTTCATCCAGTCAGGCAGTATTCTAATCTCTCCTGCTAGATTTAAGCATTTATTTATTTATTTACTTACTTACTTTTTATTATTTTTTACAGTTTATTTGTTTTTGAGAGAGAGAGAGGGAGAATGCATGTGAGCAGGGGAGGGGCAGAGAGAGGGAGAGAGAGAGAGAGAGAAATCCCAAGCCAGCTCTGCGGTGTCAGCACAGAGCCCGATTTGGGGCTTGAACTCATGAACTGTGAGATCATGGCCTGAGCCAAGACCAGGAGTCAGATGCTTCACTGACTGAGCCCCCCAAGCGCCCCTAGATTTTTAAGCATTTTAAAAGTAAGAATCAGTTCTCATGCTTTTCTCTTGCATACTCCACGGCAATAAGAGTCGGGCTATATATATGGGCATCTCTCATTGGATATATTTGAAAAATACAAACAGACCAACAAAACACATGATTTAAAGCAGGCATGATTTAAAAAGACAGGCTTTCTCACCGGGGGTTTAGTCTTGATTTTTCGTACAGAATCACGGAACTTTACTCTCGAGCGACTCTGGGAATCATCTTCTTGTTGAGTCTTTTGTGCCTCCTCCCCTGGCTATAGGAGTGAAAAATAGGATAGACAGAACACTTAAATCAAGAAACTAAACATGTTCTAAAATAAACATGAACTCTCAAAGGGGAAACCTCAGACCATTGGTGTAGACCACCATTCCCAAGGTATGAAATGCTTGCAAATATCAAATATATTTGAAGGTTAAGGTTGCTGAATATTTTCTTACTTCTGTCTCTCTCAAGACACAACAAAGATAGAGTTTTATACTCACTAGGCCCTAACATGACAAATGCTATTTCTTCTGCAGATCAATAGATAATGTAGTTCATAGAGGACCATTTCCAAACAGTCTATGAAGGAAAGCATCAATAATGTCTGAAAGTGACCGTATCTGACCAACAGCCTCCAGGACACGAGGCCTGTCCTTGCAAACCCGTGGAGGGGTCCTTCCCGCAGGAAACGAGTTCTGTCTCTGATAGCTCAATGTGCTAATTCTCATTATGGGGGCTCCCTTTGTCCTCTGATCAGGCCAATCCACCAGGGGCTGTCCTCACTTTGTCCTCATTTCTGCTTCTAATCCACTCCTCCTAGAACCTGAGGATTCCTTCTTTCCCACCCAGCACAATCCAAATGCCAACCCTTCCTTTGGAGCGACTCTAAGCCATTCTAGTAGCATATGTAGATATTCATAGTAAGAAGGGACACACTTATTCTACCTGCAGATTATTATCTGTGCTGGGACTTGTGTCACAGCATGGAATGACTTTAGTTAGGGCGAGTGGAATATAGTACACCCATACTGGGGCCCCTCCACCTATGCTTCTCAAGTCCTGCCTGTTTTTCCCGACCATGCAAAGCTACTTCCTTTCTCAGACTACTCTTTTCTAGAATCTTATTGTCTGAGGCACATCAGGTGCTGCTTTGTATAGCTTAGTAATCAAACCACGGACTCTGGAGTCTGACTGCCTAGCCCTGAATCCCAACTCCATCACTTAACAGGTTAGGCCACCTGCTTTGAGCATCAAATAAGGCCACGCACCTAAAATATGCCCCTAGTTACGGCTCAATAACGGTGGGTCTTAGTGTCACATTCTTAATTTTCTTCTTACGTGTCTTTTATCTTCCTAGCTTGTATGTACATCATGTGGCTATAAAAGTTTTATTTTAGTCTGCCAGAAATTAAAGCCTGATGCAAGGGTCTTTTGTGCCTGATTTTTGTGGCTTATTTTGAAAAGTGGTACCAAAGAACAGGAGTTGGGAACTGGGGAGAATGAAACAGGAGGAAAAGCCAATTCTGGTGAATGTTACTGAGCTGGCTAATGCGGTGGTGACCAGGGCTCTATCCCACTGGAGCCCCGCTGAGGACAGTGCTTCTCAGAATTGCCTGCCTAGGACATGGAAGAGTGGATCCTTGTCTCATGGCTTCTGTTCCCAGTGTGCAAGAGTTGCCCCAGGCTCCTGGCCCTTCCAGTTTTGTGAAAGTCTCAGAATGGCTGGGCGGGTCTCCACAGGCCAGTGACGAGAGCTTGAGATCCTTGAGTGCAATAAAACAGGGTGCTATGAAATTTCACCCAGGTACAGCTAGATGTCCAGCATGACCAGAATAAAAACGAGGTGTCGGTCGGGGCACCTGGGTTGGGGCTCAGTTGGTTGAGCGTCTGACTTTGGCTCAGGCCATGATCTCGCTGTTCGTGGGTTCGAGCCCCGTGTTGGCCTCTGTGCTGACAGCTGGCCTGGAGCCTGCTTTGGATTCTGTGTCTCCTTCTGTCTCTGCCTCTCCCCAAAATAAATAAACATTAAAAAAATAATTAAAAAGGGGCGCCTGGGTGGCTTGGTCAGTTAAGCGTCTGGCTTCGGCTCAGGTCATGATCTCATGGTCCGTGAGTTCGAGCCCCGCGTCGGGCTCTGTGCTGACAGCTCAGAGCCTGGAGCCTGTTTCAGATTCTGTGTCTCCCTCTCTCTCTGCCTCTCTCTCTCTGTCTCAAAAATAAATAAACATTAAAAAAAAATTAAAAAAAATAATAATAATTAAAAAAATAAAAAGCTTTAAAAAAACAACGAGATATCAGTTGGGTATAATTTACCATAGTATCAACAGAATATATGCCATTCCCATTTGTGTAAAATTCTACGTTTTTCCTTTGTTTTCTCATTTCGCAGTATTAGGTTAGATTCAATAGTTATGTACCAACTCAACCATATAAAAGTTGAAGCTGCACTGGAGAGTAAATCCCACGGTGCAATGCAAAGTATGGAGTTGTTGGTCTTGGTAAATTCCAGAATTTGAAATGTTGTTTTGATGAGGAAAGAAGCAGATGAATGTTATTCAGTGTAAGGACAAATGATTTTAAAATATTAGGGTAGAATAAAGAGCCGATTCCAGGGCTTGGTCAGGGGGGATTTCCAAAGCTCTGTCAAGTCTGATCCTCTCCCGAAATGGGGCTAAGCCTTTCTCATGTGCTGTTGAAGATGCCTTTCTGCCCCTGTCTGCCTCAGAATCTGCCACCTTCTACAGCTCATGGGACAGATTGGTGGGTTTGAAAACATGGAAAATAAGCCAAGAGGTCAACCGCTGGGAGAGGGGGCAGATTGGTTCTGAACAGGCAAGCCTCAGCTTTCAGAGATCTGTGAGAAATGGTGTGAATAAAACATGAGACCCGACAGAAAGTCTAACACTGGTAGTTTAGAAAATAAAATCAGTAGGTTAAATTCCAGGTAGCCCAATATGTGCATACCGGTAGTTTAGTGTTTTATGCGTTTTGTTCCTTCCCATCTCTTCCTGTACTTTCCTGGCTCAGAGGATATTACATTCACACAATATAATTTCATCGGTGTGCTTCATTTGCCAGAGTGGTGGTTTTATCACAGTGTATATACACTTGGTATAAAAGTCTGTTATGTAACTTCTATCAAATCTAAAATGATATTTATATCGGTGTGGTAAAAAAATAAAAAATTATATTAGTACATTTAAGGTCATTAAATGTACTTAAAATGACTGAGTGGGTGGAATTAAATTTTAAAGAACTGTTACCTATAACACATTTGTATAATCTTAAAGTAATAAAGTACATTCAACTTCAAGGCAGCAAATACTGAGTGCCGATCACCACATAGTCCATGCATCCAGCTGGCATTTTTTGTCACCTTTGGATTTATTGTGTCCTCTACGAAGGCTCTATAGGCCTCTTGTAATTTGAACAAGACAATCTTAAGTCCCATTACTTTTACCATAGCACAAATACAAAATATAGTAGTTCAAGCCCTAATCTTCTCTTCTAAACTACCATTCAACATTTTTGATTCCCTAAAAGACATCCTAATCTGGATTGTCTTGTAGACACCTGAAATTTTTGTATATGTTTCATACTAGTCAAGGTACTAAACATGATACCTGATTTGCAAATAATTTCTCCCACTCTGTGTTGTCTTTTCTCTTTCTTGATGATGCCCTTTGAAGCACAAACGTTTTTAATTTTGGTGAAGCCCAGTGTGTCTATTTATTCTTTTGCTGCAGGTGCTTTTGGAGTCATGGGTAAGAAACCACTGCTTAAATTGAGATAACTCAAATTTTATATAACCTAACCTCATGGCTGGAGTTAAGTGCCCTTTCTGTGGGCTCCAAATGTTTTCCAGCACGGAATTTAACCACCTTGTCTCCACATTGTCCGTTAATGTCTGTGATCCCCACTGGGCTCTTCTAGGTTGGGCTATTGCCATCCATGGTAACGTTGTGTTGTCAGGGCCAATTAGACACCGGCCAGGAAGGCGTCTGTTGTAGATGCTGGCTGGGCAACACATAGACTACATCAAAGAATCAGGTCTTGGGACAGTGAACCAGGCCCACAAATGAAGGAATAATTCTGGTCATCTCTAGCGGAGGCCAAATATTCAAATGTTCTGCTATTTTCACTTTAGTATTCACGTGTTTTTAGACATTTGTGTTTTGCTTTGTTCTCATACAAAATGAAAAGAAACGCTAAAGAGAATAAACAGAGGTTGGTGTTGGTGAATTCGGATTACCGGCCAAAGTATTCCCAACCGTCTTCTCCTTTTCCCTCTTACTCTACAGTCTCTAACGATAGCTAACTCTTACATAGAAAGGGCTCCCCATGTGCCAGACAGTGTTGAAAACAGCGTTTACATGTCTGAGTCCATTGAATCCTCAAAACAATACCAAGAATTAGGTTCTAGTAGTATCACCTTTTACAGAGGTGGGAAGTGGGGTCCAGAGGGTAGGTAAATTGCATGTCCAAGGTCACACAGCTGGTGAATGAGGTTGCCAACATTTTAACACTGGGCAGCTAAGGTCCAGCATCTGGGCTCTCTCCTTTGCTCAACAGGATATAAATGGACCACTTCTGGATATTCCTTCTGGGTTGAGGTACACACACATCAAGAAATATGCCTGAGAGGGGCGCCTGGGTGGCGCAGTCGGTTAAGCGTCCGACTTCAGCCGGGTCACGATTTCGCGGTCCGTGGGTTCGAGCCCCGCGTCGGGCTCTGGGCAGATGGCTCAGAGCCTGGAGCCTGTTTCCGATTCTGTGTCTCCCTCTCTCTCTGCCCCTCCCCCGTTCATGCTCTGTCTCTCTCTGTCCCCAAAATAAATAAACGTTGAAAAAAAAAATTTTTTTAAAAAGAAATATGCCTGAGAGATGTTCTGTTAAAAACCTGAGATCAGGTCTGAAAAAAAGGCCGCTGAATCAACTGTTAATGTAACCTGGCTGTTTTGAACCCTTATCCATGGTATTGAAGTCCAACATTGGAAGAGTCAGAAGAAAAAAAAAACAACCCAAAAAACTGTGGAGTCCGGCCTGTGTGTCGCAATTTCACAGGAAAAGGAGTTACTCATTCATGCCAGGTCAGCCGGTCCCGTCAGGGAGAGCTGCCATGCGTGGAGGTCTCTGAGCCATGAGCTGAACTCTGTACCCACCCCCCCCAGTTACTGCCCACCTAGGCTTACTCTTCTCTTTGTAAAGTTATACAGTCTCTGCTGGCCGAATCAGACTTTCAAAAGGCACCATCGTGAGTAACCTGAATCTAAAGAAATGTAAAAATGAAACTGAATATTGAAGCGATTTCATTTTCTAGGCCAAAATTTACAAGCCTGATGCCTTTCCTTCTTCTTTGTAACTGGCTAAGGTAAACATGCGTGTTTATCTCATTCAATGTGCCTGAGAACTGATTTTTCTTTACCAAGACTTTTTTTTTTTTTTTTTTTTTTGTGGAGCGCTAAAACCATCCAGTATTGTTATGGTTCCAGGGCTGTGCTAAAAGCAATTTTACATGCCATTTCCACCTCATTCACCCAAATTCACTTTGACAACTCGGGATCATCAAGGAGGAAAAAACAAAGGGAGATTTTTTTTTTTTAAAGCCAATGGACTGGAAGATGAGTTACAGCCAAGATCTGGGAGCCCCTGGATCAGCTAAGTGAAGACTAAGAGGGTTAACCCTGTCCCGCTCTTGGAAGTGACCTCTAGGTCCTCAAGGCCACGTTGTGTCTGAAGTTACAACATCTTTTTTTTTTTTAATGTTTGTTTATTTTTGAGAGAGACAGAGACAGAGCGTGAGCAGGGGAGGGGCAGAGAGCGAGGGAGACACAGAATCCGAAGCAGGCTCCAAGCTCTGAGCTGTCAGCACAGAGCCTGACATGGGGCTTGAACCCATGGACCATGAGATCATGACCTGAGCCAAAGTCGGATGCTCAACCGACTGAGCCTCCCAGGCGCCCCTGAAGTTACAACATCTTATCTCTTCCCTTTCCTGCTCAATTTCTCCTTTCCTTGCCTATCATTTCCATTTCAGAAATATTTATTTCTTGAAATGTTTTAAAAAGATGACTTTTCTGAAAAAAAAATTAAAAGAGAAGGCAGTTGATGTTTGCCTTGTATGTTGCTTTGCAAATTGGCCATGTGGGCAGAGGGAGAGACTAAAGACAGAAGCAAACCATTCTAGATTGGTAGGTGGCAGTTTTAATCAGCAAGGGAAATTATGAGGCATCTCTGCAAGAGAAGGAGACCCCCACGCCTGCCTGCCAAATCTTAGAAGTCTGTACAGAGGTCCTAACTGGATTCAGTCAAGTATACCAGGCAGATGGCCAACACTACATTTCTGTCTCAAGGCTGTACCCCGGGGACAGCTTCTGGGAGTGGGGAAGGCAGGTGGAACACACATTTCCATGACTGGAGAGGGAGTGAGAAGCCTCCAATTGCCTGGGTCCAGCTCATGGGTCAACCAGTGGTCACGTCTTTTTAAAAAAAATTTTTTTTTAACGTTTATTTATTTTTGAGACAGAGAGAGACAGAGCATGAACGGGGGAGGGGCAGAGAGAGAGGGAGACACAGAATCAGAAGCAGGCTCCAGGCTCTGAGCCATCAGCCCAGAGCCCGACACGGGGCTCGAACTCACGGACCCCGAGATCGTGACCTGAGCTGAAGTTGGACGCTTAACCGAATGAGCCACCCAGGCGCCCCAGCGGTCATGTCTTTTTGATGACCTCTTCCAACACCTCAAATCCATACAGTGGCTCTTAGGGGATATAGAATATGATGGATATAAGTCAAGGTCCTGCTCACAAAAAGCAATAAATACTCTATAAGCCAAGGGAGTATATTTTTACTTCTACAACTTGAAGCTTTATTTGGGATATCATATTCATGGCCCAAGCACAAGTGAGAACTGCCATGATTTTGTGAAATGACTATCAATCAGGAAGTGTAGGTAAGCTCAGATATAAGAGACCAGACCCTGCTATCATTTAGCCCATCTGACCAGACGCTGGGATTCACACACCTACCCACATAACTAAAGTGCTTGTGTTAAGCTGATGGGATTTTAGGTAGTTTTTCTTTATTTTCCAATATTTCAGAATTATGGCTCTTACAATGAAAAAAATAATTGGAATCAAAGAAAAATAAATGCCTTCTCAGCAGAGTGGAGTAATAAACTATCATAAAGCCATTTCATCGGACCCACGGAGTATTCCCACTGAGGAACCATGGGCCACGTCACATGTGCACAGCTGTAACTTTCCTTGTAGTCATGCGATCTTTGGCTTGTTTGGGATGAATGTGACAAAATTTTATTACATCTCATTACAGAAAAAGAGAAGCCATCCTCTAAGCAATCAGTGGTCTTTCCACAGAAATTCCTTCATGCCTGTGCTGTCTCAATAGTGAAAAACAACCCAAATCGTCATCATCAACAACAAACAGTTGGACTAGATCTGCAAACACTTCACTGAGCCATTGGCTCTGCTCTTTCCTTCCTTGTTCCACCCTCTTACAGGCTTGTCTTTCATCTACTTCTTTCATTTTATTTTTTTATGTTTATTTATTTTTGAGAGAGAGAGAGAGACAGAATGCAAGCAGGGGAGGGGCAGAGACAAAAGAAGACTCCGAAGCAGGCTCCAGGCTCTGAGCTGTCAGCACAGAGCCTGACACAGGCTCGAACCCACGAACTGCAAGATCATGGGCTGAGCTGAAGTCAGAGGCCCAACCGGCTGAGCCACCCAGGCGCCCCAATCCTTTATCTCCTTCTGACAAGACTTTCTATCTTGTACTGCTTTCTGTCCTCCTCATGGGCCAAAGGTCAAAACCCTCCTCATTCAGTCTTCTGTCAGGAAACAAAGGCCTCTCCAAACTTCAAAACTCACTGCAGTAGAAATGTGTCCTAAACCTGTTTCTCCAGGCCCGGTCCTTTCCTCTGTATCTTTAGACAGAGGAGCACACATGGAGATGACCCTCAGCCCCTCAGATTCAAACAAAAATCACTCCTGTGCATTCAAACCACCTCCCCATCCTATGGCCGACTGCTTACCATGGCTTGTAGAAAACGATCGAAGCTCTTCAGTGTGGCATTCAAGGCCACCACCAATCCACCCTACTTTCCTCCTGCACGCCTATCTCTCTCTGCTTCCCAGAAAATCCCCGGATCCAGTAATGCTGACCCACGAGACAGCCTGGGAATGAGAAAGAACCGGAATCCGATCCCGACTCCTCCACACGTCTGCCCTGTTACCTGGGGATGGCAGGTGCTTCGAACCTCAGTGTGCTCATCGGTCACATGTGAATGAAGAGAACAGAACCCACCCCCCTAGGGGAGCTGGGATCATGATGTGGTAACATGAGAAAAAGACCTGGCAAAACACTTGGCATTGAGTAGGACTCTACAAACAGTAGCTACGATGACTACTAATCAGCACTGAATGCCTCCTCTGTGCATAGCTCTGTTCTAGAAACTTTTGCTGGCAATGTCATCCTCCGCCTCACAGTCTTTGATCACAAAGTAGAGAAGTACCGTTTCTCACCTCCGCACCAAATTCGGTCTCCAGTTCTTTCTCACCAGGACTCTGTAAGCGCCTAGGCCGAGGGGTGGGGATTTCCTGCAGCAGCGTGCTTTCTGCTTTGGACTAAAAAGGCAGACAGAAAATTACTGCTGCATAGTGTCACTGATGCCATCTCGATGGCAGACAGTCACTAAAAACTACACGCTGCGCTTCTTTAAGAGGTAAGAGCGAATGAAATGGTTAAGAAAAAGGACATTAAATTCTTCTTAAGCATAATTTTCCACCTGTGCCAATGTTAAATACTACATTAATATTTAAAACATGAAAAACAAATTTAACGGCATTCAAACGCATGCAGTTTTGAGCAAACGCAGCATTCTAGACAAGACCTGGAGAACTGCAATCAGCACGGAACAAAATATTCATGTGGTTTTTCTCACCCTGGCAGCCTGCAATTTCTCCCTCATGCGTTCCCTCATGGAAAATTCTGCAAAGCCCGTTCTGGAAGCTGAAGGAATTGGAGGTAAGCCTAAAAAAATACAGAAAAATTACTTTAAACAACATTTTTTCCCCTTTTTTTTTCCAACAGGAAGATTAGATTAAAAAAATAACAGGAGAATGTAATTTTATTTTGCAAATTTAGAACTTCACATAAGCAAAGATGAGATAATGCTGACAGCCGTCCATTTGACGTAATAAGTACATGTCTTGGCTTCTTTGCGACTGAGACGGAAAACCTCGGTCCTGCCAGCAATGCCACATCGACTTAACTAAGAATAAAAGGAATGCCACTCAACTATTCCAGGCACGGGCACACCAATTCAGTTACCATTGGGAAGAGCCTTTCCAATCTGTTGAATGAGAAACAGGCTCGTAGGTGAATGGATGGCCAACGAGTTCGGGGTTCAGCTTTCCAACAGCGCTGATAACTTCAATCGGAGAAACCCTTCTAGAGACCCAAGCCATGGCCCTAGGCTAAATCATAGACACAGCATGTATTTCAAACATATTATTACATATATGTAGGGGCACCTGGGTGATTCAGTCAGTTAAGTGTCTGACTTTGGCTCAGGTCGTGGTCTCGCGGTTCCTGGGTTCAAGCCCCGTGTCGGACTCTGTGCTGACAGACAGCTCAGAGCCTGGGGCCTGCTTCAGAGTCTGTGTCTCCCTCTCTCTCTGCTCCTCCCCACCTCTCACTCTGTCTCTCTGTCTCTCAAAAATAAATAAAAATTTAAAAATAACAATAATAAAAAAAGAGATGGCCCTTGATGTTCTTTTTTCACTCACTTAAAAGATCATCAAGCCACTATTTTCCATTTTGAAGATCACGTAAACGTGGCAGATCACATGCACTGTTACATGTACTGAGGGTCCCGAGACTTTTCCTGTATGGCATTGGCCACACTGTGAACTCACACATTTGTGTGATTATTTGGTTAATACCCGTTTCCTCCTCAGGTTCCATGGTCCCCAGCCACGCAGGGCAGGCACATGGCAAGTGTCACAGAGTGTGTGTGGTTCCCTGATGGGACAAAGGCGGGCTTCCTGACTGGTTCTTGCCAGTCCTGTTGTCTGCCTGGCCACCCACCTTGCTTCTGCTCCAGAGAGAAGTCCTTTAATAGTCAATAATAAGTGTTTTTAAACATGAAAATGGGGGCGCCTTGGTGGCTCAGTCGGTTGAGCGTCCGACTTCAGCCAGGTCACGATCTCGCGGTCTGGGAGTTCGAGCCCCGCGTCAGGCTCTGGGCTGATGGCTCAGAGCCTGGAGCCTGTTTCCGATTCTGTGTCTCCCTCTCTCTCTCTGCCCCTCCCCCACTCATGCTCGCTCTCTCTCTCTCTCTCTCTGTCAAAAATAAACGTTAAAAAAATTTAAAGAAAAACATGAAAATGCACCTTATTCATTTACTTCCCCTCCTTAAAAAAAAATCCAGTTTTTCAAGTTTACTTAAAATAGCTACCACCTAATTCACGAGAATAATTTTATGAATTAGTGTTTAAAAGAGAGACAATATATTTTATTAAACATTATCTCATCTGAATAAAAAAAATGAAATGGCTTCTCTAGGATTACCTTTTTTAAATATTTTTTTAAGTTTATTTCTTTATTTTGAGAGAGAGAGAGAGAATCCCAAGCAGATTCCACCCATTGTCAGCGTGGAGCCTGATGTGCGGCTCGAACTCACAAACCTCTAGATCATGAGCCAAAAATCAAGAGCCAGAGGCTTAACTGACTGAGCCACTTGGGCACCCCTCTAGGATTACTTTTAAAAACTGAAAGATTTTAAAATGGTAAAAAGCAGTTCTTGCTGGATATTTTAGAGTTCGCGATAGTGAAAGACATTTCAAGGGTATAGAGATTCTCGAGTCTGATCTGCACAACTAGCTGGGGGGGTGTCTTTTTCCCAGCTAGAATGTGCCCCACTTGAGGGCAAGGATGGAGTTGAAGACCTTTGTACCCGCATCGTGCAGCACTAAATCAGTGAGGAAAAACATATAAAGGAAGCACGGGGGCATGAGGGAGATTATACAAACAAAATGAACGTAATCCTCATTTGGATGAAACCTGATGTGATAACCGTTTTTTCCAGATAACACGAAGAATGTGATATTCATGGAAAACCATGTGGACTCATCCACCCCCTTTGACTTAAGAACTGGTAGAGATTTGGTGCTTTCATTTTTATCATGGTAGAATGAAGCAGTGTTTCTTTAAGCAGCTAGAACTGCAATAACCCTCGTAAGACATTTTTTCCCCCTAATTTATTGTCAGTTACTCCACTACATTACTGATCTGCTAGGTAGTCCCAAGTGTCTATTTTTCCTGCCCAGGGGAGAAGAACAGACTTGCCAAGGCTGAGGAAGGGTGTGATCTCACACGTACGTACAGAGGCTCTTTGACACAGCCGAGCAAACCTGGCGTAAATAAAGTCTCCATGGCATGGAATAAGAAGAGGATGATGAAAATAAGTTTTAAAAAATCATTAAAGACTTGATTTGGAGGCAAGAGCTCACGAATAATGAGAATAAGCATCCTGTTAAACTTCTATACATAATGTCAATGAGTATGAAATACAGATTTCCTCTATAAGGTGCTATTTCTTTTTTTTTTTTTTTCCAACGTTTTTTATTTATTTTTGGGACAGAGAGAGACAGAGCATGAATGGGGGAGGGGCAGAGAGAGAGGGAGACACAGAATCGGAAACAGGCTCCAGGCTCCAAGCCATCAGCCCAGAGCCTGACGCGGGGCTCGAACTCACGGACCGCGAGATCGTGACCTGGCTGAAGTTGGACGCCTAACCGACTGTGCCACCCAGGTGCCCCACTTTTTTTTTTAATGTTTATTTTTGAGAGAGAGAGAGAGAGAGAGAGCACAAATGGGGAGCGGCAGAGAGGGAGGGATACAGAGAATCCAAAGCAGGCTCTAGGCTCTGAGCTGTCAGCACAGAGCCCAATGCGGGACTTGAACTCATGAACTGTGAGATCATGACCTGAGCCGAAGTCGGACTCTTAACCAACTGAGCCAACAAGGTGTTATTTCTCGCAGAAGCAGCAGGATGATGTCCTCACAAGGCTGCTCTAGCTTCCCAGGACACCTGTTCATCTGGAGGCTTCATCAGCTTCCCGTCTGCAAATGCTTCCAGATCTTCTCTACTCCGTCTCCTTTGTCCTATCACCCACACTCACTCTACCCATTTCTCTCTCTGGATAGGCTTTGCGAAATGGTGGCCACTTTCCACTTTTCTCTTAACCACTTCTATAAACCTGACCCCTCGGGAAACAACTACTTTGTAAGAAGATAAGCACTTCATTTTGAAGTAGTGTTCTAGTCTTGTCATCTTCTGTCCCAGGTTGATGTGATCTTGTCTTTACAGAGAAGTTTCTATAGCTCCTTCTCCACCACCTGAAGTCTTCTCCATTTCCCCCTACTTGTGCTGAGAGAGTCCCATACTTCTTGCAAAACATTGCTCTGTGAATCTCACTGCTGAGACCTGAACTCTCTGTCTACCATGGGGTACCCCAGGACTTTCTGAGGACATAAAATCAGAAATGGGGTGTTTTTGGTTTGGATTTGAATTGGTATTATCTGGACTCACATGGATTATGTAGAATATGTGAGCATGGTGATGATGCCTGTTTTGTGACCTCCCTCTTCCAACTTCCCTCGCTAGTTAAAGAATATGCTTTCTAAAGGTTTTTATGGATTTGTTTCACTTGTTATGATTAATAAAGGTTTACCAAATCCTATAGTATGTTTATGTTTTCGTCAGTTGTGTACCACTGATAATTGTAATAATAGCACAATAAAAAATTCAGTTTGTTAGGGGGCACCTGGGTGGCTCAGTTGGTTGAGCGTCCGACTTAGGCTCAGGTGATCTCACAGCTTGTGGGTTCGAGCCCCGCATCAGGCTCTGTGCTGACAGCTCAGGGCCTGGAGCCTGCTTCAGATTCTGTGTCTCCCTCTCTCTCTGCTCCTCTCCCACTTGTGCTCTGTCTCTGTCTCTCTCAAAAATAAATAAGCATTAAAAAATTAAAAAAAAATTCAGTATAGAAATAGGTTACTTAAAATTCTTGGGGGGGAGGGTTGGAATGAAGGAGCTTATTAAGAAGAAAGGGGAATGGTGTCAGATTTCCAACTGTTCAGGTTTTGTTTTTGGTTTTTGAAGGAGATTATAGTGGTCATCAAATCACTGTGCCATATAGATTCTTTAACAGTGATATAACATTTTTATTTTAAGACATTAATATTTATATTATTATATTTATATTTTATTACTATTTATCTATCTGTGTCATCAATAAAGTATTTAAAATATGACAGAATTCTTTTTAATGGCAACTTACATATAGCATAATTTTTATTGGGACAGTGGACAAAAGGGTTGGGAAAACATGGCCTGCCCTGCTCTTTTTTTTTTTTAATGTTCATTTATTTTTGAGAGGGAGAGAAAGAGAGAGCGAGTGGGGGGGTCAGAGAGAGGCGAAGACACAGAATCTGAATCAGGGTCCAGGCTCTGAGCTGTCAGCACAGAGACTGAACCGGGGCTAGAACTCATGAACCCCGAGATCATGACCTGAGCCGAGGCTAGAACTCATGAACCCCGAGATCATGACCTGAGCTGAGATCAGACGCTTAACCAACTGAGCCACCCACGTGCCACTGGCCTGCCTTAACTCTCCCCCAAATAATCTCCCCCCACTGTTGTAATATTCCTGGATAGAATGTAAATATGGAGCTGGGGGGTGGGAGGGCATCGGTACGGAAGCCAGCTGACCTTGGCAGGAAAAATTGGAGGGGAGCAGAGGTAATATCCCCAAGGCTTGAGAGGAAAAAACGTGATGAGTTGGACAATCATTTGGACTGTCATCGACTCTAACCACCTTCATACGGGTGGAGGAAAATGGAGTGTCTTTCCAGCCACTGTCAGCCCTCTGTGAACATAGTGTGTCTTCAGCTGTCACACAGAAGAAACCCGGCACAAAGAAAGGGCCTCAGGTTAATGGTGGTTGTCACTAGGGTGAAAGAATGTG